ATTAAAGCAAATAAATCAGACAATTGAAGCAAATAAAAGTAATCTAAACTTTAAGGTAACTCCTCTTTTTTAAGTGTCCCCAACATGGTCTCTAGTTCTGTAATACGGTGGGAGAACTGACTTTTTGGTTTTATCCAAATATGCGGATAGCTAGAGTAGCCACCGACTTTTCTTTTATCCAATATTTAGGAAAGGTGAAAAGAACAGGAAAAACCTTTGATAGATTTTGAGTTCGGGGGTTAAATTTTGAAAAGGGAAGGTGTTAGCACCCTTTTCATCCGTAGTTATCTACAGGCTCTTAATTGCTAGCTCACTTTTGAAAATTTGCTTTGTGTGTGATTTGCTTGAAAATATTTTGAAAAGCCAAAGTCAGGCCAACTTTGTAATGATTCTTGTATTAGTCCTCAAGAATGCGTACAAAGTGTTTGCAAATATTTTGTTTGAAAAGTGTGATGTGAAAAATGTTTATTTTAGAAAAAATCGTGAGCAAGAGATTAAGAGTTCCTTACCCACTAAAGGTTGTTCTTATTCTTTTCCTTCTCCTTTAGAGATAGTGCTATCCATACCATTAGCTGGTAGGTAGCCCCATCTATTGGATGTGAAGGGACAAGCATAGGGTCATCGAATGGTCATTGAAGACAACATGTAGAAATACTTTAGCAATTTGTATCGGAGGGACTAAATCATTTTCATAGGCAACTTCAAAGGGTCATCGAGGGACTATGATCTTTATTCGTAAGGGACTTTTGCTAAAGTATTCCTACTTTCGAGGGACATGACCATTAATCGTAAGACAACAAGAGAGGGTACCCTAGAAGTGCAAATGTGAAGAGTGTATTGATTTCAGTTATTTATCTTGAGATTTAGCGTTTTCTACGTTTATTTTTAATCTTGCCATACAATCCTAATTACTAGCAGTTATAAAGTATACAAAAAATAAAGGTGCGGAAAATAAAATCCATACCTTATTACATGACTTTGGGGCAGTTACATAATAGGAGAGTGCAAGAAATTAAACCTATTAATATTACATCCTCGGAGCAGATACATAATAGGAAAAAATGCGGAAAGTAAATCTACGCTATTATAATAGAGAGTGTGTCCTATACACTTGATCTATGAGGATAAATAAAAGAAATAAGAAAATGCTTTGAGAAAAGTTTGAAAGACCTACAATTCTAAGTATTAGTATTTTGGTATTTTGTGGAAAAATAATTTAAAGGATAATAATTAATAAAAACCTAAATTCTAATTGATTTTAATATTTAAGAAAAGATTAATTAATTAATTAGTTTAGTAAAATAAAAAATCAAGAAAATTAAATGTTAGTTAAAAACCATAAACCTAATTTATTAAATATTAGAAAAAAATTAGGTTAATTGATTGTTAAAGAAATAATTAGGGTTTAATAATAATTCTGATTAATTTTAAGAAAAGAAAAGGAAAATAGGTTAGAATAGAAAACAAGGTAAAAAAATGTATGAGGTGGGTGTTGAACCCACACCCCAAAGTTCAGAGCCTGTACTGCACGCCACTAGGCCAATCGCTTGTTGGTGTTAGGAAATATAACATGATTATTATATTTGAAACTTGTATGTTAGTATGGAAAATAACGAAAATAATGTGAAAATGCAGGGATCAAATCCACGTCCTCTCATTCATCGCGTGAGTCCTTCACCAACTGAGTTGTGCCTTCAATTTGTTAATATAACATAACAAAACCAGTGAACCGGAGAAGCGCCGGAGCCCTAGCTCCGGTTGTTTTCTCCGGCTAGACCTTTTTGTTCCTCCAAGAATAACGCTTGTTATAACCAAAGGAGGACCCTACCCCCCTAAATCAACCCTCCTGAATCCAATGGTGATGTTATTTTTGGCTAATTCGACCCGCATAACGATATACAACTAAAATAAAGTAAAATGACATGATTATGGAAATGGAGTGTTCTGGCATTATGAGACTCATGCAAGGGGTGAAACTTGCACTAATTGATCTCAGAAACACGTTAGAATTGTTAGTTTCAAGCAAAGTATCATAAATATTAAAATACAAAGTTGGAGAGACAAAGTTGTAGATAATTAAATTTCCATCAAAATGGGCTTTGGTTGAGAATTTTATGATGAAGTATGTGAAAGTTATGCTTGGTCAAAGTTCAGTTGACTTCTCCTAAAGAAAACCTTAATTTATCAACTTTTGACTTTTGATGAATCTTGAGGTTTCTTGATGAATCATGATCAATTCTTGATTAAAAATATGAGTTCAAAATCTTGATGTTGACCAAAAATCTTGAAGTTTGACTGTAAATTGGTCAAAGTTGACTTTTTATCCAATACAGTTGATTTTCAATCATCTGACTATTTGACTGAGCAACTTGTGGTGCAAGGCTTGAAATTTGGCATGAGAATACTTTGAAGCATATGATAAACCATGAAGTCCACTTGAGGCATTATAAGTCCAATTTTCCTTGAGAAAATCAAAATCTTAGTTGTAGGCCACTGCTTAGGAGAAGGATTCATCTGATCATTCTTTGAGTAGTCTTGAGTACTTGAGAATCTTAGGAGTATGAGAAGGTATTTTGAATCATATTGTCTTGAAAAATAGGAGGGAAAATTTTAGGATACAAAAAGCGATCTTAAAATTCCAACTTAACTCGCCATAGTTTGGCGGCTGTACGGATCGGCCCGGCGGACCACAACCTCTTTTGCCACTCCTAATTCAAATAGCCATCAATAAAAATATGATTTTTTATTTTTAATGTTGTTATACTGTTTTCTAGTTTTAATAATAATAATAATAATAATAATAATAATAATAATAATAATAATAATAATAATAATAATAAGGCTAAATTACAATTTTGATTCTCCTATTTTGTCTTATTCACGGAATCAGTCTCTTTATTTATTTTTTAAACACTTTGGTCCTCCGAACCTATTTTTCATCCAAAAAATATTGAGTTGTCCATTTTTTTAAAAACATGACATTAATGTGATGACATGATACGAAATAAATTGATATTTAATTATTAATAAATATTTTAATTAATAAAATAAAATAAAAGAATTAAATTAAAAACTAAATAAAACCAACAAATTAAAGAACACGAAAGAATAAAGTGAGGGACAAGAAAGACGAAGGTGGAAGCGAAGACCAAACCAGCAAAGAACAACACAACAAAGACGAAGTCCTCACTTTTTCACAAGATATTATCTCGAATCAAATCGTTTTCTAAGATTGAAGAACATCACAAATCAAAATCCTAACTTCAATTGCAATGTCAAATATCAGTGGAATATCGTTTTCTTACGATGCACCATCTTCTTGCAATATAAACGACTGATTTAAAGTTACATACATTGAGAATTTTCTTCCTCTTTCTTCTATTATTGAATCAATCTTTTATAATATTCTTTTTCTTCTTCGATCAATTTAATTCTTTTCTATATTTTTTTTTATGAATTCTACCGTAAATAAGATGGAAATCAAAGATTTATGCATCAATATAAATCTCATATGGTTTCTACGGTTGCTAAACAAGAAAGGAAAGTAAAATTTTTAGCTATAAATAAAAAGGCCACTAAACTTTTCTATTTGATTTCTATTTGAATAAAAGACTCAATTTTTTTAAAATCCGAATCAAGTTTGCATTGAAGGACGAGCTAAAAATAAAGTAGAATAAATTTTGTGTTCTTTAATTTTGTGAGTTTGTGTTCGCGATCTTCTGAGTTTGGTGTTGGTGTTCTTTTGAGTATGTGTTCAATATTTCATTTGATATATTGAGTTTCTTTTAAAAATTATTTAAATTTTTATGTAATTTGATTACTTTCACTTAACTTAAGCAATTAAAAATTCAATTAATAAATAAAAAAATCAGTCATCTCGTGCCACATCATCAACATAATGTCACATATATAAATAAAAAATGACACTTTAATATTTTTAAAAAAAAATTAGAGATGAAGATCAAAACTTTAAAAATAAAATAAAAGAATTAATTTCGCAAATTAAGCAAAATAGAGGAACAAAAATTTTAATTTCGCCTAATAATAATAATAATAAAAAATAAAAAAATAACAATAATAAAAAATAAATAAATAATAATAATAATAATAATAAAATAATAAAATAATAATAATAAAAAAATAAAAAATAACAATAATAACAATAATAACAATAATAACAATAATAACAATAACAATAACAATAATAACAATAACAATAATAATAATAATAACAATAATAATAATAATAATAATAATAATAATAATAATAATAATAATAATAATAATAATAATAATAATAATATAATAATAATAATAATAATAATAATAATATAATAATAATAATAATAATAATAATAATAATAATAATAATAATAATAATAATAATAATAATAATAATAATAATAATAATAATAATAATAATAATAATAATAATAATAATAATAATAATAATAATTTTTATAAGAAAATTATAAAAATATGATATAAATAAATAACATACACAAAATCTTAATTGTGTTTTCTATGGCTCTATGGAAAAATGCATCATATTTTATTTGAGTGCAGGGAAATAAAAGATATTTGACAGAGTGTGCTAAGATGGATGAATATACAGCATAATATGCAGGATTGAGATTATGAGTTTCCATAAACTATTAAGGTGTGTAAGAGTAAAATTTGGAGAAGTAAGATTCTAAAGATAGCACTGGCTGAAACAGTGTATGCTGTTTGGAGAAAGAGGAACGATGTGGTATACAAACAGGATAATAGTGATACTCATATAATTAACAGAATAATAAAGATCATTGTTAATAGAGTGTGAATAAATCCCATGTATAAAAATAGAATAGCTAAGCTGATTGGCTTAGTGTTAGTGTGAATTTGTGGTTATGCTAGACCCTATGAATCGTTTGAGTATAAATTATTTTTGATTATATATAATCTTTATTTTTAATTATATATATTATCTGTCCGACGTGGGTTGAATCCCAATTTAACCTTTAAACTTTAAACCTATATCTATTCCGGTTGAATCTTGATCTGTTTTTGATTACCTTGTGTAAAAGTATCGAATTAGAAGCGCAAAGCAACGGAAAGTGGGTAAACCTAAAAATTTGATACGGCCGGCCTGACTTGTGCTGCATCCGACATCGCATCCAGCTTCCCCATCCGGCACCACCCCTCCCGCTCATTGCGTCGCGTATCTTCGTCGCCTTCGCCCCCTCTCCTTGTTAAGGTATCATTTTCGTTTTCAATTTCAGTAGCTTAGTCCTGAATTGTACAGTGTTGAATTTGTGAAATTCCTTGTATGATACCAAACTCTCTTACATTTTCAGCATGATTTCGGGTTCCTTCCTTTTCTATTTGCAGAATAACATGTGTGCTGCTAATTCAGGTTTTCCTTTTCAATCATTCTATAACAAACAATGGAGCCTGGAAAATTCGAGCCGAAACACTCGGGAGACCTGTTGAAGTAAGTACACTTCCTATCTTTCTTTTTTTCTTCGTGTTTTACTTCATGCGATTTATCTGCTGTGAGCTGTTTGTGGTGAATAGGCATATGGATAAGCAGAATGAGGTCCTCATGGAAGCTTACAGATCAATGTTGCATGAATTGCAAAAACTTCAGGTTCTAATATTTCCCATGCATTAACTACTTCCTGCGCTTTATTCTCCTTTATCTTTGCAATATAATTCTAAGCTCATTTCAGTCGCTTGCTGTAAATGTTTCTTTCATTTTGATTCATCCTATAATTCTCTCATATATCTTCTGAATGATATGTTTATGACACATTTTAACATATCATTATGACTTCATTTGCTATTTTCATGTTTCTGACTTCATTTGCTATTTTCATGTTTATGACTTCATTTGCTATCCTTCGAATGTCTTGGTTATGAATATGTTTACTCAACGTATGCGGAGTGGACAACCTATAAAAATTGCTTGTTTTTTTGCTCTAACTCTTGAATTTGTAATTGTCACTCTGTTTGTGACCACCAAGTATACTTTCTTCCTCCGTTTTTGTTGCTGGCTACAATGTATACAGGACATGTTTCTTTTCTTTTATTTGTTGTGTATCAATATTCAAGAAATAACTAGACTCATACTTGTCTTTGGTGATTATCATTTTGAACAAGTAAATAACATGACACCTACAAAAACATGAATCTCCTAAATCTTGGAGTTCTGGTTGTTAGGTGGAAGAAGAGATGCTTATGCGCAAGCTTTATGAAGTTGTTCGTCCACGGTCTCACTAAACAGGTTAAACTTTGTCGACGTTATCTCAGATTCTCAGTTGCCACCAACCTATGTATATGATATTCCTGACATATCTGCAAAAGTTTTGTGCAGTTTAAGTTTTGTAAACAATGAAGACAACTCCACCAAATACAAAAAAAAAGATCAAGATGGGTTAATTTTCTCATAGATTTGGTTTAAGACCAAAGTTTGTCATATACTTGTATTTAAACAATCATGTAACCCATATAGAAAAGATAAAATACAAAACAAAAAAAAGTAGATTAATGTTTGATATTAGTGATATATTTAATCTCAAAAGTAATAGGAATAATTATTTTAAAAAATGTATTGGTACTGTCATGATGTAGTTGAATGTGGTTTGATATGCATAGTTTTAAGAGTTATTAATAGGTGGGAATGAAAAATTAATTGTGTATGATTTATCAAAAAGTTAATGATATAGTGTGTGTTTTTATTTCTTCTTTAATTAAATATTGTAAGATTTAAAAATTTAAATTTAGTCCAATATTAAGTTTTTTACTAGAGCATCTACTTTGGAGGGATAATATTAAACTTATATTTTTATCAAACTTTAAAAATTTAAAATATTGGTATCATAATATATTTTTTTAAAAATTGTTTAGGAAAAACTATAAATGAATGAAATGAAAGTAAAAATAAAAGTAAAAGTATTTAAACAATTAAAATTTTGTAGTTTTTTGGTCTCTTTAACATTTCTTAGTTTTTTCAACTCTTTGATTTATGCTTAGTGTGTTTGATGATTAATTCAAAAAGTATCATTATGCAAATATCTAGTGAATACAAAACGAAATGAATAAATAAAAAATGCGTACTAAATCACGATGGACCTGAACCCTCTGCTAGGGAGGGCCTATGCCGTCAGAGACTTTGCATGGCAAATCGTCGGAAGAAGAAGACTTGCAGAAAAGAAGCACGGAAAAAGCTAAAGATAAACATGAAAACAATTTCATCGTGGGAAACATTCTGACGGCAGAAGGAATTCAGCAGGAAGTGCTGAATAATATGGAGGTAGAGACCAATCATGCTAATAGATCCTACAAGGATATGGTTATGGGAGTGGAAGAAGAAGATGATAAGGTGGATCAGGAGGGAAGAATTGACTGGGATAGTGAAGAGGATGAACCTGAAGAAGAAGGAGTGGAGGCAATACGAGTAGTGGAGCAGAAAATAGGAGGCTATGATTGTCCATTGTTTATCCTCTCTAAAGCGGAGGAGAAGAGGATCCAAAAACCATGGAAACGTTGGGTTATTGTTAAGCTTTTGGGAAGGAGAATTGACTACAAGACTTTGGAGATGAGGTTGAAGCAAATGTGGGTGAAGAAAGGAATAATAGACATTATTTGATTTAAGTAATGATTATTATCTTTTCAATTTCACCCATGATCAAGACCACATGATGACGTTGATGAATGGCCCCTGGTTCATTTACGATCATTACTTATTTGTGAATGAATGGTGTCCGAATTTCCATCCTCAAAGTGACACGATCAAATCTGTTGCGGTGTGGGTGAGAATCTCGGAACTACCTGTCGAGTACTACGATTGTAGAGTTCTACATCATATTGGCAATAAGATAGGGAAAACAGTCAAAGTCGATTAGAATACGGTCATGCATTCTCGTGGAAAATATGCCTGTATTTGTGTAGAGGTTGATTTGACCAAGGCACTGGTAGCTATGTTTATGATCCAAGACCGGTCATATAATGTGGAATATGAAGGCTTACATTTGCTCTGTAGCGGGAAATTTGGGCATTATAAAGAAGGATGTCCAAATATATTTGAAAAAACTTTGGCTGATCAAGGTGGAAGAGAAGCAGCAGATGTCATAAATAATATTAATGATGGTAAGAGTGAGGCCAAGTAGTGACGAATTAGTAATTTCTTTGAAGAATATGGGAATCACGAAGAAAATGGATGAGGCGCAGGATAGTAGAAAAAATGATGAGATAAATAGTATAAAAAAAAGTGCAAGAGAAGAAGATTATTAATACAAGCAAATCCATCAACCTGTGTACAAAAGGAGGTATCAATAATAAGGAGAAGACCATTAGTATTAGTAAAAAGGGCATAGAAGATTTATTTGGCAAAAATATCACTTGGAACAATCATCCTGAAGTCAAATCTGATCTCTATAACTTGCAAAAGAGAGACTACGGTTTGATGTCCAGAGACCTTTCCTCTCAAAGCACCGATGCAGATAATCCTAATGTCTCTTCGGCTTTGGATAATCTGCATGAACATGAAGATGGTTACAACAAGCTAGACAAACCTCCTGATACAACAATTGGGATCAGTAGAAGATTTAGATTTGGCAATGATTACTCAAAGAACCCAATTGATGAAAATGTTATTAAAGGAGCTACCATTGAAAGTGAGCTTGAACTTACAATGGAAGTTGTTGAGGAGTCTCCCCTGGGAGCTTAAGGTTGTTTGTTCTTTCTTGTTGTATTTTCCTTATGATTAATACACCAAATAAGATAATGGTTTGGAATTGTAGAGGTGCAGCTAGCAAATCTTTCTACAGATATTGCAAGTACCATATAAATATGTATAGTCCTTCTATGGTGGCAATTTTGGAAACCAGATGTGATCCAAATTTGCTTAAAAATACCTTTGAGAAGTTAGGTTATGATGAAAGGGTGATTGTGGACAATATAGGATATTCGGGAGGCATTGTTGTAGTGTGGAAAACCAACTCTATGAAAGTGAAACTGTGCAAAAAGGACAATCAGTTTATTCATCTTCGGATTAGATCAAATCATAATCAAGATTATCTCTTTACAGCGGTGTATGCAACTCCGAATGAGAATGATAAGAATCTGCGGTGGGATGAGCTGAAAAATATTTCTAATAACATCAAAGAACCGTGGCTTCTTGCTGTTGATTTCAACGATATTGCAGATAACACATAAAAGAAGGGTGGACTTCCATCTTCGCATAACAGATGTGTTGTGTTCTGCAGTAGAATAAAAAGTTGTAACCTAAATGATCTTGAAGCTAAAGGCCCAAATTTCACTTGGCGTGGCCCAATCTTTCATGGTGGGCAGCGTATATATGAAAAGTTGGATCATGTCCTAAGTAATGATGATTGGAGATGGTGCTTTCCGGATGCGATTGTTAAAGTTTTGGTTCGTGTTGAATTTTCAGACCATCATCCGATTCTCATAGTTCCTTCCGTAGACACGCATAATAAGCAAACTAAACCATTCATGTTTGAGAATGCTTGGCTCCTCAATAGCACTTATATGATATGCTCCAGCAAGTTTGGAATAATGAAAATGACATGACTCAGAATGTAAGGAACACAAGGGAAGGTATTAAGGAATGGAAGTATGACACTTTTGATGAAGTTAAGAGGAAGAAAGTTGAACTCATGAGAAGGTTGAATGGTATTCAAAACAAACTGCAAGTGCAGTATAACTATGGTGGCATGAAAAGGTTAGAGGTGAAATTACAGACTGAGCTCAGTTCTATTCTGAAACAAGAGTTGATGTGGTTTCAAAAGGTCTTAGCGGATGGAGACTGAAATAGGAAGTATTATCATATGAAAGCTATTACTAGAAGGAAGAGAAATAGAATCATGATGCTTAAAGATGAAGATGGGAATTGGGTGGAAGATCACAAAAAATTACAACAGCTGGTTTCCAATTATTTCAAAGACTTGTTCAAGTGCCTTAATATGTGGAGCATGTGGTTTCAGACTAATGTCACTTTCCCGAAGCTTGATGCCAACATTATTCTCCAGTTAAACGATGACATTAAGACAGAAGAAGTTAAGCATACCTTGTTTGCCATGAAGCTGTGGAAGGCTCCGGGTCCTGATGGATTCCCGACAGGTTTTTACCAAAAAGGTTGGGAAATTGTGGGGAAAAATGTGTGTGATTTTGTGAAGCATGTGTGGAGAAACCCTAGCGTGATGTTAACAAGACTGACATTTGTTTGATCCCCAAGGTTAATCAACCCAATCTAGTGAGCCAATTTCGACCTATCTCTCTCTGCAAATACCATATACAAAGTTGTTACCAAGGTATTAGTGGAGATACTTAAGCCTCGCATGTCTTATATTGTTTCTCCTTATGAAACTGGTTTTGTGCCTAGGAGAGCAATCCAAGAGAACATTATCATTGCTACAGAAGTTATGCATAGCATGACCGAGAAGAAAGGAAAAAAAGGTTTCTTTGCTATCAAGATCGATCTTGCAAAGGCTTACGACAAGATTAATTGGGAGTTTATCTGGAGAACTCTTGTTGAGATTGATATTCTAGATAATATGATCAACCTCATTATGCATGGAATCACGAGTGTTGATTCTAACATCAATTGGAATGGGAGTAGAGGCGAGTTCTTCCGCCCCCAGTGTGGTATTCGACAAGGTGATCCAATATCTCCATATCTTTTTGTGTTATGTATGGATAAAATCTCCCATATCATTGAACATGAAGTTAGCAAAAAGAATTGGAAAGGTGTGAAATTAGGTTCCAAGGGCTTGACCATCTCCCACCTAATGTTTGCAGATGAGCTCCTTCTTTTTGGTGAAGCCAGTGAAGATAAAATGAATTGTGTTCTCAACTCTTTGAATACCTTTTGTAATTTATCTAGACAGGAAGTTAGCAGAGAAGAATCTTGTATTTTTTTCTCTGATAACGTGAAAAGGAATATGCGGTTGAAGCTTTTGCATCTTTCTGGGTTCCGTGGAACCAAAAAGTTTGGCAAATATCTTGGAGTCCCATTAAGTGGGAATTCTATCAAAAGGCAAGATTATGAATATCTCATAGATCAAGTCTCTTTCAAGTTGGCTAATTTGAAATCTAGAAATCTGTCAATGGCGGGTAGAATTACTCTGGCAAATAGTGTTATTGGGGCTATTCCTGTTTATCCTATGATGACAAACTTAATTCCGAAATCCTGCATCAACGAGATTCAGAAACTTCAGCGAAACTTCGTTTGGGGTGATACTGAAATTAAAAAGAAAACTCATGTTGGATGGGAGACTGTAATGAAGCAGAAGGATAATTGTGGGTTGGGTCTTCGCGACCATGAGCTTATGAATCAAGCCTGCATTATGAAGTTGAGCTGGAAAATGATGAATCAATCCTCTGATTTGTGGTGTAGAGTTATGCGCAGCAAATACCAAATGGATAAATATCATACTGACATTAAAAGCAAAAGTACGGATTCGTACATTTGGAAAGTTATTGTTAAATTCATGCATGATCTTCTGGACGCGAGTATTTGGTGTATTGGGAACGGTAAAACTATTCATGTCTCGAATGATTGTTGGGTTGATACTGGCAAAAATATTGCAGATTGTGATTTGGATATCCCCCGCGAATTATAAACTGCGAAAGTCTGTGACTTAATTAGCGCTAATGGTGACTGGAATTGACAACTATTGGATAGTTGAATCCCCTCCAATTTTCACCTTGCCATCGAAGCTATTCTTCCGTCTATTGACCAGGAAGCTGAAGATAAAATGCAGATTGTAGGAACGAAAGACGGCTCTTTTTTTATCAGCTATATGTATCAGAAGCTTCGGGATATTGATGAAGATGAGAATGTTGATGTTTGGAGATGTATTTAGAAGCTGAGGGTTCCAGAGCGTGTCAAAGTGTTCATTTGGCTGCTCGCGCATGATAGACTAATGACGAATTACCGTAAAAGTTTGTGTGGATAGGAGCTGCTGCCTACCAATTATGCAGTGATGTTTGCGAGTCTGTGTTGCATGCTTTGCAAGACTGCCTAATAGCAAAGAATACGTGGGATAATTTAGTCCCAAGTAACTTACATTTCAGCTTTTTTGCAGGTAATCTTCAAGATTGGATTTATGTTAATTTGATTGTGCATTGAGCTAATAATGATTAGTACAACACGTGGGCAATTGGCTGCCATGCACTTTGGTCTTGGAGGAACAAATATATACATGTGGAAGACCATGCTAGACCCTTATTATGATGGACATAGTATAGCGGGACGAGTTCAAGATTATGTTTCAGCCATGTCTTGGCAACATGATATTGTGAGTAAGAAGCTTTTGGTGGAAGAGGTTAGATGGTTCTTGCCTAATTCCTCATTTGTTAAGATTAATGTGGATGGTTCTTGTGGTGCCGGAAAAATCTCAGGGTGTGGGGGTTTCATTCGGGATGATAGAGGCAATTGGTTATGTGGTTTCTCGAAATTTATTGGAGTTTGTAATGCGTTTATGGCTAAGGTGTGGGGGAGTTTATGAAGGTCTCAAGCTTTCTTCCTCTAGAGGCTTTGGGAAAGTCATTATTAATATAGACTCCAAAAGAGTTAATACGGAAATTTTGCATAAAACGAGTACCGGGGATTCAAATTTGGCCTTAATTTGTCAAATTCGTCTTTTAATGGCCAAACATGAAATGGTACAGTTAGAACATATTTTTCGAGAAGTAAATTGTGTTACAGATGAGCTAGCAAAGAAAGGGCATCTTTTGAAGACCGGTTGCAAGGTGTATTGAATTCATCAAGAATCTTATTTATAAGGATTCAATTGGTTTATCTACTCTTAGAATAGTTGTTGTGTAGTATCTTTTCTGTTTTGGGCTTAGGCCCTCTTGTTTATAAAAAAAAAAAGTATCATTATGCAAGCTTATGGCCAATCCATCATTTTTTAATTCATTTGTCTCATTTTCTCTCTACTATAGTAATCATTATTTTGTGTGTGTTATTTTAATCGGTTTTATATAAATTATTGAATTTGTCAGGGTGTATTTTAACATTATTAAATTTTGTTTATCATATAGGATTAAAAGTCCAAAAAAAAAAACCATCATGACATCAAACGAAAAAATATCATTATTTTGTGTGTTTTATTTTAATCGGTTTTATATAAATTATTGAATTTGTCAGGGTGTATTTTAACATTATTAAATTTTGTTTATCATATAGGATTAAAAGTCCAAAAAAAAAAAAAACCATCATGACATCAAACGAAAAACATATTACTAGAAGAGGTAAATTATTTTTTTTTAGTCTTTTATCTCTACCTTAGATTTTATTATACTTTTTTAACTTTTAAAAGATAAATCTTTTATGTATTCAAACAACGTCATATTAGTCTTTTCTGTTAGGTCTATTAGAGTATCTCCAATAATGAAACTCATTTTTGAGTTTTTTTGTGAGACCTATTAAACAACATCATCATGAAACAATTCACTTTAATGGTGCAATTCTAAAAAATCAATATTGGGTCCTACAATTCTAAATCAAATCAACAAAATTGTATGCTAAAATGTGAAACTGTAACAATTATGTAAATATTTTAGTCAAAGAGACGTTGCTTGCCGAAGAGACGATAGCAACATGCTGGCGAACTCCAACGGTAAAAATTCCACTTTTTGATTCTCCAGCTTGGCGAACCATGTGAAAATCTAGCCACTGGAGGCGCTCTTTATCAAAATCAAAATAAATGGCCATTTGGCATACACCCGACGCTGACGTGGCATATTGTTGTACCCCAAAATTTGTCCTCCCATTTTCACACAAGACATACTCCTAAAGGTTCTCAATTGCTCAAAGGTTGACTAGACAATTCTCCTTTTGAGGCAATGAACCCCCAACCAGGGTTTCCATTTTCATCAAGACGGTTGAGCTCCAAGGATCCCAAATGTTCTCCATTGTCCTAATATGCCCTCAAGGTCATCCATGTCAAATTTCAGGCCTTGCACAAAAAGTTTGCTCAGTCAATTGCTCAAGTATTGGAAAATCAATCGTGTTAGGTCAAAAGTCAAATGTGGCCCATGTACATTCAAACTTCAAGATTTTTAGTCAAAATCAATATTTTGAAGTGATATCCATCATTTGATCAAGGGTTGATCATGATTCCTCAAGAAATTCTCCTAACCCATCAAAAGTCAAAAATGGCAAATTAGGGTTTATATAGGAAAAGTCAACCAAACTTTGACCAAGCATAACTTTATCATACTTTATCAGAAATTTTCCAACCAAAGCTCATTTTGAAGAGAATTCAATTCCCTACGACTTCTCTTCATCTCTCAAGTTCAAGAAATGCACCACTTGAAAGATACAAGTTCATACATTATAGGTCATTTTTAGAAAGTCAACAAAAGCCACTTTTTGCCAAGACCTTTTACATCAAGATAACATCTTCAAATGCGAAATTGATCAAAAGAGGGACTGGGCTTTCCAAAAAGTATAAGATCATTATCATGAGATAAAAATTGAGCAAGTTATGGCTTGCCCAAGTTGGGAAAATTTTGGAAATTTCAAGAATTGTGCATTGAGCAAATTTGAATTTTTGGATCAATGGCCTAACTTTTTAAGATTAAAATATCTTCCTAAGGTCATAAAGGACCTCTAATCTTATTTTTGCATGGCTTTGTATTTTCTACCTATTTTTTACATATTTATTTTAATTTATTTCAAGTAAATATAAAATAAATGGTATAAAATATTTGGAAGTGGGTTTAGACACGTGGGCTAGTGTTTTGGCTTGCTTAGAGGCCCAAGATTTCGTGCACAAGTGAACAGGTTCATTTAAGCAAGGATATGGCATGTTTTGGAAAATTTGGAAGGCCTTGAATTGGTTGGATTCTTGTTGGAAAACATGAGTTGTGGCCATAATCTTTCACATTCAATGGTGTCTCCTCCTTCCATACTATAAGAACAACATATTGGCCAGCTCAAAGGACGCACAAAAAGCCTGAAGAATTGCTGCATATTTCATTCAAAAATTCCAAAGTTGTAAAACTGAATTTCAAATTGCAGGTGGTTTTGATCCAAAAGAAAGGCCCAGACACGTTCCTGGAAGTCCCCAAAAACTTTTTCCAACCATCACCAAGTCCTAAAACGCCACGAAACGCATCCACCAACATCCACAGTTTGCTTCATTTTGAAATTTTGTTATGTACAATTCATGTAATTTCCCTGTGATTTAACCATGTATTTCTGGTTTATTGATCATTTGCAAGCTTCCTATATGGTTGGATTGAGTTTTTGATGCAGGAACTGTGTGTCACCATTGCTAGGGTTCTAAGTTCAAAATTGGGGTTTCTTAAAATACCCAAAATTAGGACCAACCAAGGATACCATCTTACTCAGGAGGTTGAGAGTAATCAACCCATGACCTCCAAGTGAATTTATTGTGCGTTTTGTGCTTGTTTCACGTGCAGGTTTTATAGTGACGGACAAAAATCTGTCACTATAGGTATTTCTACCTAAGACGACGGAGGGAGGTAGGAGATGAATGCGTGGCAGACCCCTATTGGGTGATTCAAATCAGCGCGCATGTTTTTATTTTTTTCTTTCTAATATTAACATTTTCTTGTATATTATATTATTGATTGAGTTTAGGTAACGAATGAGCAGGTTGGTGTAGCGGTGGGGCGCATGTTTATGAGGCTGGAGGGTCTGGGTTCGATCCCCAGCCCTTGAATTTTGTTTTCTATTATATGTTTCCTGCAGATCAGATGCTGAACAAGCCCATAGGAACACCATGCACCCTTACCCTCAGCCAGTTGATCACCACTGATTCAGATCAAACGATCCAGATCACCATGTGCTATCAAGGAGCGCCCCCTGGATCCAAGCAGTCTGGGGTCTCAAATGGGCCCAATGATTTTTCAAAATAACACCCCCTGTTTACTATTTAGCTCCAAGCCCATTAGCTTCCCTATTTATTTTATTTTGTTATTTACTTCTTTTTAATCTTTTTTTTAAATCACAAAAAATCAAAAAATTAATAATCATAGATTTAAGTTTTTCCAATTAATCTAATTAATTAATTTAATTAATTAATTTAATTATTTTGACATCATTTTATTAATTTAAAAATAATTAGAGCTAGGTTTTATACTCAAATATTTTCTTAACAAAAATACCAAAAATAATAGAAGTGGTTTTATTAATTTTTAATCAACAATATTTTTTTTATTTTTTAATTAATTAGGATTTTTTTTTTGTTTTTTTAGTTAATTTAGTTTAATTATTTTCTTAAAATGAACAAAATAAAAATATTTTTTTACTTAGACTTTTTTAGATTGTTAGACGTTTCTTTCCATTTTCACGCGCATTTATCTTATTCCCGCATCTTTTATAATATTGTACCTGCTGATGGGATGTAATAGATTAAAATAGGACTTTACTGCTTTTATTTATTTCCTTTCCCTCATTTGGACATGTAAATGCCCCATCCCCGAAAACATTGTAATAGCGTAGATTTAAATTCCTGCACTTTAAATTTCTGCTTGTATATAAACTGTTAGTAACTTAGGTGTGCATGACAAGATAAAATCAAATAATCGTTAGACCACTAATTGCAAGATAAATATAACTGAAAAAACACATTGTTGCATACTTACACCCTTAGGGTATTCCTCACCTGGTTGCCTCGGAAATGGTCATGTCCCTCGAACGTAGGGATACCTTAGCAAAGACCCTCAGTTTAAAAGTCATCATAAAAGATCATAGTCCCTAAACGTCCCTCGAGTTGCCTGCGAGAAATGATCTTGTCCCTCGATGTTGCCTCTATGATGACAGTCCCTTCAGAATGCTAAGTTATCCTTACATGTTGTCTTCAATGACCATAATGTCCCTTTCGATAGTCCCTCAACATCCGACGATAGGGCTACCTACTCACTAATAGTAGGGTAGCATTATCTAAAAGAAAGGAGGAAAAGTACGTCCTTTTTCGAGTAGGTATATGACTCTTAAGTACTTGCTCAAACTTGAAATTTTCACACGTACACACTTTTCAAAAACTATTTTAAAAAACACTTTATCACACTCTTGAGGACTGATACAAGAGTTATCATAAAGCAAACAAAATCTTTCAAAACACATAAACACAAACAGTTTTAAAAAATGAGCAAGTACCTAAGAGCCCGTGGAAAACCACAGATGGAAAGGGTGCTAACACTTTCCCTTTCCATAATCTACCCCCCTTACTCAGAAAATCTCGAAAAAGATCTTTTTATGTTCTTTTCACCCTTTCCTTTGTTGGATAAAAGAAAAGTCGGTGGCAACTCTTGCTTACCGCGACATTTGCAAACAAAAAATGCAAACCAGTATTAAACAGTCGATTCTGCCACCGTATCACAGAAATGGCGACTCTGCTGGGAGTATTATAAAAGTGAGGTTTACCTTAGGGTCTAGATCATTTATAATCTGTTTTCTTTGTCTTGATTGCTTTACTTTTAAGGGTATAGTTTGGGTTACTATAGATCCTACACCCGGATCTGGAGAAAC